AATTATTACATCGCAAGTAACATGTTAACTACCAGGCATTATAAATAGAAAATTGATTGCAAAATTTGCTGCCACTGCTCGGTTTCATGTTAACAAAATAATTTTATACTATCATGTGTTTTCTTTTGTCCATAGTCTTATTATGTTTGTCAACTGGTATCTTCATAAATGTTTAATCAGTATTTATAAACATATCATTTAGGTAGCTGATTTGGGCAATATAAATTTTATGTGGTTTAGTGAAAATAAGAAGCCCTTTGTAGGTTATAATATAAATTTTATATGGTTTAATATCAATGGCTACAATCAAGTTGTGAAAATCTTTTAGATCCAATGCTTTGCACGGGTCTAGATACTAGTGTAAATAAGGGTAGTTATGTTAGAGAGTAGTGTATGTGTTTGACAATATTTTTGTTTTTGTTTTTGATTTTTTTTAATACCAAGAAGTGTGTTATTTCAAATAATACAACTTAATATACATTTTGTAACCTCGCAAAAATGCAAAAAATAGCCTGAATGGATAAGAATTAATTCAGAATGCTTTGCATGCTACCGGGATGGTCTAAGATCTATGTTGCCCTCCTACCCCACTTAACGAACATTGAGAATGTCCCTGCTTTATCTGTGAGGCATTTTGAGTAGAATTATAGTGAAGGTGACTTTAACTTCTGAAATATTTTCCTTTTGATAAAGAATGAAGATAAGAAGTGAAAGAATTGTAAATAATAAGTATAATTTTGCCACCTAGGCTGCGATAATATGAGATTAATAAAATAAAAAGGTAGAAGTTTATATCCTTATTTTAACTACCTTCTCTCCACGTAATCAAGAACCAAAAAGGGACATACCTCATTCACAACCGCTTCATCTAACTCCAAAATTATTTAAAATGCTTTCATCAAAAGATGTCATCACTCAGAATTTTCTATACGCGATTGACAAAGAAAAATTTCCTATTATTAAATATAAGAAATACCACCACAAAATTGTTATGTAACAACTCAATTTCACAGTTAATACATTTAGTCAACATTGACCGGATGAAGAGTCAATTACATGTTTATAAAAAAAATGGATTTCTATTCTCGAATAACTAGCTTTTAGGGAGAAATTCTTTGAACTCCGAAAACAACCCAATCTTTTCAGCTCTAATTGAGTAGAACCGATTGTGATCCAGTCATTACAGTGTTCTATCAAGACTAGACTAACTCAAAACTTCACCTTGACGAACTAGCATTTTGCTAACCTCATTTGGTACATGGAAATAAAATCAAGTAAGAATGAAATGAAATTTATGTGGAAATGTAATGCTCATTTACATCCTCGTGTCTGGGTGTCGTTAGAGAATAAAGTGAGAATGTCAATCTTAGTAATATTTTTAATATATGTAATTAATAATCAAAATATATTTCCTATGGATTTTTAATATTTTCACTCCCATTTAAGTGAGGAATATGCTCGTTTCCCTACCAACTTCATAGGCATGCACATTCCACAAAAGGTACAAATGAAGAAAAAGTAAAAATGCACAATCTAACTTTCAAAACGATGTTGTGTATGATGAATATGAATGAGAAGTGAGAATAAACAATTTATTTTCGAGCGTACCACCGTAGAAACGTAAAGAGTTCTCGTATCTTTGTTGCTTTCATGTGACAACATTACTCTAACTTGGAGAGACAAGTTTTTTTTGTTTATTTTTATCTCCCAACAAGTGACAATCAAGTTAGATGACCCAACATTTTTTTTTTTTTGGTTATTTCTCTCTCCCAGTAAGAGACAAGCAAGTTAGATGACCCAAGCCCACTCTTCAAAGAAACTAAGTCCAGGTGGCGCGCTTAGCCCATGGAGTCAAGTTGTGAGGTTGCGTTTGGACTCAACTTCCCAGAAATTCCAACGAACCCCCAACAAACATTTCTTGAAAATTTCTCCTCCCTCTCGTTTCGCACCACCAGCACGTAACGAATTCCCCGGTCAAATTTCCTCTCTAATTATTATTATTTTTATATTTCTTAAAATTATCACATTCTTGACCCCGCATGCGACCTTTTTCCCTCAAAACTTGCGTGCCGCTTAAAGCCTCTCAATCCTCTCTCCTGACCCCCAAAAGCCGTCGCGCTCTCAGTTGAGCGACTTCTGGTAAAAACCCTAACCTCGTCTTAATTTTTTTTTAATATTTTTCTTTTGCTTGGTTGATTGTTGATTGATAGAGCTCCGGAGTCGATTTTTTGCTGGGTAATTATGAATTTATTATGTGTTACTGGCTTGATCGGTTCTTTTTGGGGTATGATTGGTTCTTGAAATGAGAAATTTAGAAATTATGTTGTTTCTTTGAATTTTTCCCTACTGACAGAGCGATGCATGATGATTAAGTTGCCTATTTTCTCTGTTAATTGTATTTGTGTTGGATAGTTGGTGCTAAAATCGATCTAAGTAATTTTTTTTTTGTTTGTTTTGGGTGGGTGGGTGGTGTTGTGTGTGATGAGTTTCTAGCAGTTGGAGCAACTTCATTCTAGGCTTGTTTGGGTGATAGTATGGTTGACTTCAGAGCTGCTACTAGTCAATGGCTTTGATGGGAAAAATTTCTTGTTAACAGAACTAGGATTCTCTTAGGTTTACAGAGTTATGGTTGCAGAGTGAGGAAACAATGAGATATAAAGCTAAGGGACAAATTTTCAAAACCATCCGGTTTTGAAATTTATTCCCAAAAAAAAGACCCTTTTCAACTTTAATTACAAAAACAGACCCAGTTGGATGGGTTTTGAAATTTATTCCCAAAAAAAAGACCCTTTTCAACTTTAATTACAAAAACAGACCCAGTTGGATGAAACTGGGTCTGTTTTTGAATTTTTGAAAAAAAAAAATTCAAACTTCACGGGAGTTGAACTCCCGTGAAGTTTTTTCTCATAACAAAACTACACGGGAGTTGAACTCCCGTGAAGTTTGAAATTTTTTTTTTCCAAAAACAGACCCAGTTTCATCCAACTGGGTCTGTTTTTTAATTAAAGTTGAAATAGGTCGTTTTTTATAAATAAATTTTAAAAAGGGATGGTTTTGAAAATTTGTCCTAAAGCTAAGAGCATATGTAACAGGACTTGGTTTAGGAGAAATTTGTAGAGAACAGAAGCGTCAATGAGATTAGGAACTGATCTAACTCGTGTGAACATATGTAACTGTAGAGGTCGACTGTTATTTACCATTATAACCATCAGAGGTATTCTTTACTATTTGGGCTCATGATAGTACGAATCCTCGGTCATGATTCGCTTTAAGGAATGATATGGTGACTACTAGGATGACTGCCATATGTCAACTCAATGATGAATTAACAAACAATGAAATAAATTTATTTTCAATATAAATACTTGTGAAACAGTAAAACAGCATCCAATGCGCATGCTAGCGTGGCAACATCTGTCACTTCCTTGATGGTTTATTATGATTTTACTTTTAGATTTCACATTATCTAAATAATTATGCCATTGAGATTTACATATTTACACACTTGTTGGCTAATTTCCGCCCAATTGATGAACTTAAGTAATCTTGTTACATTTGATATTTAATTGGAGATATTGATGTGATTTTGTCACTCTATACTTTTTTTTCTTTGTAGTCAAATATTATTTTGTATATTGATGTGCACTATCAATCTTGCTGGATCCCACCCCCCCCCCAAACATGTCTTTCCTTCCCCAAATTTATGCCCAATTAAACGACACAATTGCTTATTCATGTTTTAACTTTTATGTATCTAACTTGAGACCTGGCCGTGCTTGTCTATTTCACAAATACAGATAAGATACTAAATGTGCACACAATGTTATATATCTTCAGGATAAATATTAGCGTGTGCTTTCGGGATGACAAAATTTAATAACATTGTTATGAATAAGAAATTAAGATATTTATTTGTTTCTTTATCACAGAAAACTAATGGTTCATGTATAATGCAAATATTGTATATGTATAAATCCATAAAAAATTAATAAATTATTCATCAACTAAGTTGCATGGAAACGGGCACGGGTACTCGTACGGGTGCGGGTACGGGACACGACAAAACTGTAAAATGTAGGGTACGGGGAACGACTATATATATATATATATATATTGAATTAATACTGTACATAAGTTAAAAAAATTTCCCCTTCATGTGTCATTAGAATTAAAATTCCGATCACATTTTTGAGTTTCTTTTATCATATTGATTATCGTGAATTGTAAACTACTCATTTTTTTTACTAGAATCTAAACGACCCATTAACTATATAGTTTTAAACTTGGGTATGGACTGAAACGAATCCGACTCGTATCTCATTAGTTTCAAAAGACGGATGTGAAGTGTAAGCTCTACGTCCAGGAAGTCTTTGACAAGTGTTTTAAATTAACACATATATTGTATAATTGAGTACATGTTTAATAAATGCATGCATATATTCAAGAAGTGTCCATGAAGTTTGGGTACGGGAAAGTGTCGGGTACATGTCCGATACGGGTACGGCTTCATTATAGAAGTACCCGGGTAACATAGTGCATCAACATGAGAGAAGTTAAAAGTCAAATGCAATAACTTTAATAAAACATGCATGTCAGGTGCTAATACATTCTGCATTCCGTAAGCCAGCAAAAGCGGATGTGAAAATCTGATTTAAGCATTGAATTTTCTGCCATTGTAGCTTTGAAAAATTGGAGCTGTATTTGTGTCCATGTTTATCTGTGCTTGAGAGTAGAGACACATCTAATATTAGTCTACAGTTTCCAGACTTAGCGCATCAAGTTTGTGCTTATATCATTTCATTTCCGTTCTTTTATTAGCTTTTTTCTTTGCTGGAAAACCTTGCTTGGTTGTTGCTCGGTCATAAGTAAAACTTTTTTGCTTGTGCTAATGAGGTTTGTTTTACATTGTAAATTAAGCCAGAATATTCAACTGTCTGATCTGGTTTTATATGAGATAACAGAAATGATTACTCTGTATCCTGTGCTTCCAGGTGGATGGTTGATTTAAAAGAAAGATAGAAAAGGAAGACAGATACTAAAGGCGTCGGAGAAGTAAAAATGGGTGGTTGTTGTTCTTCATCAAAAGGAGCTGACACAGATAGAACGCCTGCTTACCATTATGTGTGTAGATCCTCTCCTTTTTCCATTATCATTTCATAAATGATTACTTTGTATCTCTGAAGGAAGATATACGAAATTTATTATGCTAGCATTTTACACATTCAATCAATGAGTTTCTTTAGTTTGTCATATGAAGACCTTTTCCGCTGATGACTTCTCTTGTTTTTTGGGGAAGTTATAAGGTTTTTGCATGCACTATATCTTCTCTATGATGACTGTTAGGTGATGACTGATATATCACTAATCAGTGATCAGCCTTCTCTCAACCGCTACCCCCAAAAAACAAAAAAAAAAAGAAAAGAAAAAAAAAAGGAAAAAAAACCATCACGCCAGCACCACCTCAAAACAAGCACAACCAATTTAGATTAAGTTTCAGAAGCCCAGTTTGCACTGAGCTCATTGGCTATTCGTTTTAGCTGAGGCAACAACTCGAACTTCCTACCGCAAGATGAAGGAACAAGATATGGTAGCCTCCACCTTCCGCACTCGCATCTGTGAAGGATCTGGGGTCTTTTTTTTTCTATCTCATCCTACTTAGGTGCTTTCTTATGTCCACCTTTCTCTGTCTCATTAGCTGTTGCACCAAACTGGGATGTTATTGCACTTAATTTTGTTCGTATTTCCTCTGGTTAGTGCCTTTGACTGTGGAAATCTGGGGGAAATATCACTGGATGGCTGATGCTGAAGCCTAAAGGAATAGCATGAGACTGAAGGAATTCATTGTATTACGTACAACATCATGGCTGAGGATATGATTTTTGTATACAGATGGGACCGCTTATTTTTCTGCATAATCCATATTCTTCGAAATAATTGGATCCTCCAATGGGTTAATCTAAGAGTTGATCAAGGACAACATTGAAATGCGTATGGTGGTATATGAGGTTGTTTGCACTTGGCTAATTGTAGTTATTTTCTGTTATGCCAGATAATTCATGCATTCTGTTCACATATTTCATCCTTGCGCACTTTTTCTTTAGTTTATTGTATCTACATTTGTTAATGGCAACTATATAACGACTAGTAATTAGAAATAAGCTGCATGATATAGTTAGAGTCCTGTCATGATGGAACTAAAACAGAAGCCTTGACCCAGAGTCTCCTTGGAATAATAAATAGTATACAAAGCTTATTCATAATTTATGAATTTATATGTTGGCGAAAGCAATTATCGGTTGAATGATTCTACAGCAGTACCCAATAGTTAAGAGATTATGTAACACCCAAGATTCTGTTTATGTTGAATCAATTCGTAATTCAAGAAATACAGAAATAGGCATGGTACCAGCTTTTCTTCCGAAAATACATGGGATCAATTTCTCTTTTCTACATCATCCCCTGGGGTTTTGCTTAGAGCGGTGTGACTTTCTGAAACTTTGGATGTATCTGTTGAATGTGAAAGCTTAAAACCTCCGATTTAGATAAATGAACAACTTCTGTGTTTCTTTGTGCTGCTCAAGTTTTAATTCAGAACTTTAAGGTAACTCCCTTTGAGAGGGTGCAGTAGTAATACTAAAGCAGGTAGCCTAGTGACCGGGTTGTCTAGAAGTGTAAATTTAAGTTATAGAGCATACTTGTGTAGAATTGTTGTCTGATGCAATGATGTGGCATTAACAGATCTGTTCACAATTATGTAAGTGAATGCATCTGATAATCTTTGATGTTCCAATCAGGCCCTATCTGGTAAAACATTTTGAAAATGCAGCAGTATGAATGAAGCTTCCCCTTTCATGTTTTTAATAGCTCAAAAACCTTAAGTTGATTTTTTTTTCAATTGCAGCTACCTTGTGTTCTTTGAGTTAGTTCATAGGACATTCTTACTGATGTTCTTGTTTGATCATTATTATTGTTCGCATAAGACTCAGAAGAAGACAAAGGATAGAGAGTTGAAAAGAACGAGAATTTCTGAAAGTTTCTGTAATTGATTCAGTTGTATATGACATGCAGGATATCATATAAGAAGGTGTTATTTACTTATCTATATATAGTAATTTGTAGTAGGTATAGCATCACTAATTGTTGCTAAGTATTGCAGCTTGCAGTACTATCTAGTTGTGACATTGATTAATATATCCTGCAATAATTTGGATGTTTGGTTATTGTCCGAGGTCGCCTTGTAAGAATAGGCTCTTTTGGCTGGCTCCAGTATCGTTTCAGGATACTGTTCTGATGAATGATTCACTGGCTACACATGACCACTGCACTCCTGAAGATCAAGCTGATAGAATGTAGCTTCGTAGGCCACAACGCTCATCAACCAATCTAAGCATTATGTTATGTCGTAGACATGGGAAAGTCTTTATGCACAAAAAGATTTCCTTCAATGAGGGTAACATACTAAGTCCGTTAACGTGACAACAAACGTTTATTCCAAATACAAAATTGGAGGCATCTACATGAATCATTTCCAGTTTTGTGTTATTCAGGGCCATCTATTAATTTGACAGTTAGCTTATAGCTGCCAAAGTCTATGTTCCTTTAAGCATGTTCAACTTCCTTGCTCGAATCATAATCCTATCACTGTTAATTGGTGCACTGAATGTGTTTCTTGCAGTAAATACAAAAGGGTGCTGTAAATAATGATTAATGAGGATTCAACTTTGTGAAACTAGATACTTTGATTTTATGTGAAACAAATCTACGCTCTAGTTGATTGGTTGTGGGCCAGATGTGCACTGAACAATCTTTGAATACCTCAAGGGTACGGTAGTTTCTTGCAGTTCTCAGGTTTTGGTTTAGTTTCGTGGTTGGGAGTGATTGTCTTTTGGAAGCATGTTATGGGCTTAGTGTTCTCATTAAGAAACATAGAACGGATAAGAAATCTGTCATGTGTATGAACCAGAGTGGGACTATGTTCCAATTGACTTTGTGTCTTAGAATATCCTGATAGTTGCCCAAAAATTCTAGTTGGCTTGAGTACTTTTGTTTCATCTATATATGGTTTAGGAAAAATTATTTTGAATTTGCTAATAATAGTCTTGTATAAAGGCGAGTTAGTACTGAAGCAACATTCAATCAGTGCAAAGAATAAGCATGGGGCATTTAGAGTAAAGACATTACTGATACTAAAGATGTAGCACCTGAGATACCTAAAAGCAGTTAAATGCCTTCATGCTTCTAATTCATGAACTGTTATGATTTTTGGAGAAATTGAGACATTATTATCTTCTCAGCCACGTAAGGCCAGATTCTTGCTAGGTCATGGTATAAAGATTCTGAAGAACAACAACTCTTTAGCAGCTTTGGCTACTCTATTACATAAGTCTGCCTAATCTGGAATTTTTTGAAATCAACTTAGATTTAACTTATTTTCCTCAAAGAAAAGAACTTAGATTTCACTTAATATTTTGTGGTTACACTGAGATTCTGAAGAACAGTATACAATATTTGGCGGCTTTGATACTCGATTACTTATTATGTCTGCTTAATTAATAGAAAACAACTTAGATCTAACTTATTTTCCTGTGAGAAAAGAAATTAGAGTATCTTTTAATTTATGATTAATCACACATCTTTAGTTTTCACAGTTTGGATGGTCCACTGTATGTTATGCTAATGTTGGTATGGGCTCCTATCTTGGCATTTAAGCTGCAGCCACATGCGTGTTTGATCGGCCATAGAGTTAAGATCGATACAGTTGATAATGGACTGACAATATAAAAGAGATTGAATTCAACGGATACAGGTAATCCTGGACACTAACCAAGTCTAAGTCTATTCAAAGTATACCTTTTTACAGAAAGATGTGATTTGTCGGTTTGCTTGTAGCATTTATAATGTTATATTCTGAGTATACTCCTGAGTAATATTCTCAATCTACACTAGGAATCATGTCAAGTCACATGTTCTAATATTGGTTTATTGCCAGAATTTATCTTGTGGAAACGTTTATATTTAGCTGATCTTTGTATGTTGCCCTTGGTATCGTTCTTATTTCATATATCTTGTTTCTTGCATTCCTTTCTTTTTAAACTAAAATCCGATGTATACGTCCTTTACAAGCATGGTTAATGCTTTTGCAGTGTCCACAAACACTGGAGGAAAGAGGACCTGTGTCAGTCACCAATGTCACATCTTCTGCAGTCCCTTCTGGACCACTTTTTGAAAGGAATCTGGATTCTTCAGTTCCTGATGCTTACAGAGCACCTCCTATGCCAGTGCCTTATGACGGATGTTTGGAATGTTCTCATGCGTTGCCCGGAAAATTTGCAGACCTTATGAAGTCTGGTCACATGCAACCAGCAGACTCTGCATCGATAGGAGAAGCAGTTGTCATGGATGGGAATCTGAAAGATTCTGAGTACAAGATAAAGGTAGTTGGCGAGGAAGACAACCTTAAGGCAAAGGAAGATGAACCTTCAAAGTTGAGCAAATCTGATGGCTTGGCTACAGAGGAAGAGGATGTTTGTCCCACTTGTCTTGAAGGTAATGCTATGGCTCACATTCATAAGCACAATGCTTTTTTACTTACCACATTTGCAGCAATAACACTTAATTGCATGCCAAGATCAAGGCCTTTTGTTTAGACTAGTTAATTTGCACGTGCATAAGGCATGTGATATAAGAAATAGAAACTACAATAGTGTAGTTTCCAAAAAAAGTTATAAAAAGTTAATTTCTATTAAAGACATCTTTGCAAAAAAAATTTTTTTTTCTAATTTTATGGGAGCAAGAGTTGTGGGTAAACTTAGCAAAATAGTATTTCCTTAGTTATGCTATAAACCTGAGAAAATTATGAGGACACATTAAAGCTTGCATGCCTAGATGATGCATGCACCCTGAAGAAATGTAACTAGTACAGTTGGTTAGGCCACCAATTGTAAAGGGGGGGACTGGGGGAGTGCAACTTCAAGAAAATGGAAGGAAAGAACAAAAAATGACTCCTCTCTTAAATAGGGAGAGGCTAGCAATTATCCACTTTGCTTACTGATCAGAAAAGAAACACTTGGTTTGTGGCATATTCATATGAAGATCATATTTTACATCAAGTTCATGTATGCATGCTATGAAGATCATCTTTTACATTAAATTGATGTATGCATGCTTTGTTTAATATGGTATTCTATTGTCTTAAACCCTAATTTATATTAAATTAGTCCTAAGCTATGTTACATGGGTACTTTTATCATGAAGTTGTACTTGTACCTGACATGTATCGGACGCTCCTTGGACACTTCTATCATGTATCGCACCCATATCGGACACTGACACTTCTTGAATATACACATACATTTAGTAAACATGTATCCACTTATATAATATATGTTTTAATTTAGAGCACTCTTAATACACTTCTTGGACGGTAATCCTAGTCTTCATGTTCAATTCCTGAAACATATTGGATGGTTCATTGCAATCCATACTCAGTTCAAAAAATATGATTTTAAAGGTTGTTTGGGTATCTTGTTCAAAACCACTATTTTTCCAATTTATAATCCACATAATAAAAGAACATAAAAAATGTCATGGGAATTTTAATTTCAATAACTTCTGAGTGAAAAAATATATCGATCTTATTTATTATAAATTTCAATATATGTGTATAGTTGTATACTACCTTTTACAAATTTGCCGTGGCTCGTACTTGCACCCACACTTGTACCAGTACCCGTACCCATGACCACGCAACACAGCTCCTAGGTTTTGTGGAGAGTCTTCTTAAATGTTGTGGTCTCGGAGCACTGTTATACCTTGTTGTTGATATTGATCTGCAAAAATCTGTTAAAATCTAACTAACTTCAAATAATGAACTGATAATCCCAAGTAGAAGCCAGCATGCTCCTTGTTTCTGTAACAGCCTGAGATTAAGCTGCTAGTTTGATTGCTGAATCTATACTTTGGATTAAGCTGTGTTCCCATGATGATACCTCTAAGACCACCTTTTGTTCATGATTTTCCTTGCCTTCAGGTATATCGCTTTGGTTTCTTGGTAGATGTCAATAATGTTGTCAGAATGAATGGTTTAGGTGTTCCTTAATTACTTCGCTTAACATTATGTGATGTGTCTCTTGAAGTGGTGAGTAGTTACATAAAATGAATCTGGAAATTGGTAATAGAGGATTACATGCATACAGCTTTCTGAGCTGTGTTTTGGTGTTTCTAATTTTTAAATTTGCATTTCCCGCCATTTTCTCGAGTAATTTGTAGCTGTTTGGTGTTTGTTAGAATTCAAATATGGCTTAGAAATACGTATAATTTTGTTGCTAGTAAGAAACGAAATCATGGAATATCGAAATCTATACATTATTTTAGATCTTTTCAATTCCACAATTTTGGGAATCCTGGAATTCCTCAACCCATTCAAAGTTATTTACCTGAGTTTGTTGTGCTTGTTTTAAGCATCAAGCTAACATAGATATCAATTTTATTTGTTTATTGTTGTTTATCGTTCTTACTTATATTTGTGTGAACATCCATACGGACATGATAGAGAATGGAGAGAGTATCCAAGAACACAGCCTTGGTGCTCCAGGGCAGGTAAGGGTAGCAAAAGATTGCACCTCTCCTGACTGAGAGCACCACTATGTGCTTTGGGATCAACGGATAGTTTCTCCTTCCTGATCGGTTATATTGCTTATCAGTTAAAAAGAAAAAGAAAGGTTATACTCCTTAGAATTGAAAGGAGGAATTGATTCTGAATTGTACAAATGCCTGATGATTCTAATGGCTTCTCTTTTCAATGATATCACAGAGTATGATTCAGAGAACCCACGGATTATCACGAAGTGTGGTCATCATTTTCACTTGTCATGTATTCTTGAATGGATGGAGAGAAGCGACACCTGTGCAATATGTGACAAGGTATGCGAAGCCAGGATATGCACTTCTTTTACTATCCACTTAAGTTAAATTGTAGATTTTTTCCCCCTCATAGTTAGCTTTCGTTACTTATTTTAGTTATTAGTAAGGTGCTAAGTTACATGGAACGGGTGCAGATATGGGTACGGGACAAGGCAAATCTGTGAAATATAGCATACGGAGACACGACCACACGTATATATCAAAATTAGTGATTTGTATGAGATCATTATTGTTTCTCAGTTCATGTGCTATTTGAATTTAAATTCCTACCATATTTTTAAATTTCTTTTGTTTTGTTGATTATTATAAATTGAAACTACTCGTTTTTTAAGTAGAAACTCAAACCACGCTTTAGATCGTAGTTTTTAACTTTTGGATATGGGCTGAAACAACCAAGCCCATATATATTAACGAGTTTCAAGAAATGGACACGAAGTATAAGGATACAAGTCCAAAAAGTATATGACAAGTATTTTAAATTAAAATAAATATCATGTAATTGAGTATATGTTTGGGTAAATGTATGCATATATCCAAGGAGCGTCCGTGGAGTTTGGGTATGGGTGAGTGTTTGGTACATGTCAGGCACGAATGCGGCTTCATGATAGTAATGCCCCGGTTATGTAAGTAAGGTGAGAGGAATCGGTAGAGTCTATCATGTTAGACCCTAGAGGGGGGGTGATTAGGGTCTTATGCTAATCTAATCCGATTAAATGCCAATTAAAAACTAATTAACAAGTTATCCTAGCAAGTATGAAATATCACAAGATATATGAGCTAGGATAAGCAATGTAAACAATGAGATATATCCTATATGATAAAATATATGCAAGGATATATAAACAACACAAGGGTAAATAATCTAAACAAGATAGTGGATGATATAGATAATGAGCTAATGACAATGGCGATATAAGATATGAACATAAATATGAATGAACGCCAAAGCACACTCAAACAAGCAATATGATCACGGAGTTCGGACCTTCCGTCCTACGTCTCCGCTCCCCACTCCCGGGGAGAAATCCACTATCACGACCGGGTTTTCTACGCTCACCCGAATAACGTTTACAACCACACAGTGTCGGTTTTCAACGCTCACCGAACAACGTCACTCCTCACAATCGGTTTTCTAGTTCACCGAAAACTTTCACCCCACACTCGGTTTCTAGCTCACCGAAAACCTCACAACACACTCGGTTTCTAGCTCACCGAAAACCTAACAATCTCACAATGTAACAAATATAATTTGTTCTCTAATATGGATGAGAACACAATTAAAGCACAACTCAAAGTTACAATCTCTCACCACCCAACTATACTATGTATGTAAATACTAAAAGCTCAATGTGGGTGTGTGTAACAATGAGTAAAATCAAAATCAAACTAAACTCAAATATAAAATCTAGCTTAAGAATAATGATAATCAAACAAGTATATAAATGTAAAGCTAGAGTTTGAGTTTAGAAAACTTCTCAATTTGATAACAAGAGATGGAGGGATGATAGTTGGAAGCTCAAACTTCAATAGATAATCTCCTCAAGCTCTTGTGGAATTTGATTCACAAAATCGAAACACTCAAATGCTTAAAAGCTTATCAACACACTTTAAACAAACTTAAACCCTTGATTAAAACTCTCTTAAACTTGTTTTAAAACTCTCTTGGTTCTTTTTGAAAAGACATCAGCAATGGGGTATATATACCCACTCAAAGCTCAGCAAAAACACCCAAAACAAAATGACCAAAAACCCCAGCAAACAACTCAGAGAAAGAGCCGTTAAAAAGCAACGGCTATATTGTCAGTCGACCGAAATTTTTGTCGGTCGACCGGCAGAGAGCAAAAGCACGAAGAAGAGTTCTGGACCTTCGTCGGTCGACCGGTGCGGTCGACCGATGGAGTTTTTCGGTCGACCGGACCGGTCGACCGACAGACAAAACAGTTTTGAAAGCTGTATATCTGATTTTGAAACACTGTTTAAAAATAGCAAACAAATTCCAAAAAATGTAAAACTTTGGGGAATGATTGTAGACATTATAATAAACATGCTACATCGACTGGTTATCAGAAAGGACTTCCCAAATGAAAAATATCATCATTTTACAAAATAGTCCAAAACATGAAAATATGAGATACTTGAATTTTGATGTTTTGACATAAACCAACTTTTGAAACTATGTGAAATGTTTTTATAGACTTAGTAAAACATGTATAAACTGATATTGAAGTCTATAAACTAAGAATACAATATTTTCACAAATACAATAGAAAATGAAACCTATGAGTATGTATATGAAAGTATATTTGTTTCATATCTATGTAGATAAACCAAATCACAATAATAAATATGAAACATGTAATTTCATATTTATAAACATGAAAACCAAAACTTGTGTTGTATATATATGTGATTACATATATATACAAGGAAACTAATAAAATGTGTGTGTATAGATAATTGAGCTTAGAGTATATAACACACATAATATAAATCCTAAACTATGTTACCCAAGCAATCTTGATCTTCAACGAAGCTCTATCTTGGTAATCTTGCGGATGAAGCTTGAACTTGGATCTTGAACTTTGAATAGCAAGGCTTCACCGTCATTCCGCCAACCTCCATTGGATATCATCGTTGAAGCTCTATTCCATCCATCCTCCAACGACGTTGTTTGCCTAGAATAAATACGAAAACACAAACACTAGACAAACAACATTAGAAGTAAATTGTTTGTTAAACATCATCAAAATAAGAAGGTCAACATATCAATGGTATATTGAAGTATTTAACATGTCCCAGGGGAATACGTTGAATATGGCCATTGTTCCCAGGCACGATATGAAACGCCCTTTCTAATCAAATAATGTATGCTTCTAAAGATCCCAATGACAAGCTGCCTGCTTAATCATATCATACTCCATTTAAAAGTACGAGTTCGGGAAAATCTTTCTATGGTCAATATTACCCTTGACTATCTAAATATTTTATTTAAATTTTAATTTATTATAATCATAATTATATCATATCCTAATCCTATGTAAACTGCTTACAGGTTAATAATTTAAAGATTAATAAGCTATAATATAAGAAGATTGCAAAAAACCCTAAAAGTTTCAAAAATTGCACAAAACACCCTTAAAAGTACAAAATTACACAAAACATCCAGACGTTTCAAAACTTAAAACAACAAACATGAAACCCTTAATATTTTAAAAACTATAAAAACACCCTCAAAAGTTCAAATAATAACAAAGCACTATGAAATTCTGAAATTTTAAAACTTGCGAACAACAAAGACGAATTTAAGGAATTACTATCATACACTAAAAAACTAAAATTTGTAAAAAATAACCTCAAAGTTATAAATATTCCGAAAAACTCCTTTGAAAATTAAAAAACACAGAAAACCTAAAATGTAATAACTTATAACCAATACATATCAAATCTCAAAATTATATGAGTTCGGAAAAATCTTTCCATGGTCAATATTATCCTTGACTATTTGAATATTTTATTTAAATTTAATTTATTATGATCATAATTATATCCTATCCTAATCCTACGTGAACTACTTACAAGTCAATAATTTAAAAATTAATAAACTATAATATATGAAGATTACAAAAAACCCTAAAAAGTTTCAAAATTTTCACAAAACACCCTTAAAAGTATAAAATTACACAAAACATCCAGACATTTCAAAACTTAAAATAACAAACATGAAACCCTTAATATTTTAAAAACTATAAAAACACCCTCAAAAGTTCAAATAATAAAAAAGCACTATGAAATTCTAAAATTTTAAAACTTGCGAACAACAAAGACGAATTCAAGAAATTACTATTAAACATTAAAAAACTAAAATTTATAAAAAAATAACCTCAAAGTTATAAAAATTCTGAAAAACACCTTCGAAAATTAAAAAACGCACAAAACCCTAAAATTTAATAACTTATAACCAATACATATCAAATCTCAAAATTATCAATAGACCGCTAAAAATTTAAATTTACAATAAACAATCTAAAGTTTTAATAATTACAAAAAATACCCTCAAAATTCAGAGTTGCAAGAAATATTCTAACATTAAAAAACTTACTACCAACACATGAAACATGAAAATTACAAGTACTCAACTTAAAATTAAAATTTTTAAAAAACACTCTTAAAGTTTTAAAATTTGCAAAACACCCTTAAAAATTCAAAATCACAAAAAAGCGACTAAAATTTCAAAATATAGCAAAAAGAAGAGTAGTTGTTTGATATTCTTTCATTAAGATATGTAAATTTTACTTTTAATTTAAGATTTTATTATCCTTTTTTGGCATCTAAAAGTAGTCTAATTTTATCAAAAATATAAAGGTGGAGAATGATTTATAACGTCTCAATAAAAAATAAAACAGAAGGAATGAAATGTACTATTTTCTGAATATTTTATAGAATAGGTTTTTTTGGAGTAAATTAGGAATTTTTGGAAGGGATTTTCATAAACATTTTTTGTACTTTTATATGTTTATGTGGATATTTTCATTATATAAAAGTATACTAGATTTAGTATTAATCTTTATTTTATAATTTTTTCAAAGTCTATCAAGGATTTGGAACAAACTCCATATTATATTTTGTTTTACTTTAGCCCACTTTTAACCTATCATCTTGTCTTATGAGCTTTAATTATTCATTTTCCTTCTAGAACGCTATTTTTTGAAATATTTTTTACTTTTACAATGCTATATTTTCTCAGATCAAGCTTGATTTCATGTTGGTCTCAACACATGATAATTCAAATTGATTTCGGATTACATTTATTTGCTGTCAATTCAATTATCAATATAAAAATTTAAATTGGGTGTAGTTCATTTAAACGAATATTAAAGAAAATAAATAATCACAATACTAAATTTTAGAGATATAAGTAAGCAAAAACCATCAAAGTGGAACCGAGGAACAAGTTTTAGTAAGGAAATAAACCAAATATACTTAATCATGATATTTGACCACGTGCATAAAACCTAGTGCTAATATAAATCGAACAGATTGTCATGGATTCCATCTCTCTCCTTCCCAACTATCTGTTGATTGCTCTCTTCTGAATGTGCTTTTCTCACTTCATGTTTCATGTTTTTCATTGTGCAGATCATGATGTTTGATGTTTGACATTGGTAGCGAATAGTAGTATTATGAGCTTAAAAGAATCATCATCTTGTTTCTCCTTCTGTGAATCAAGCCAGCCTATTTCAAGGCACAATGGTACCTGGTGTCTTTGTGGCAATTCCTCAAGCCAATCTCATGTATAAAATTCTTTTAAAAGGTCTACGTATAGGCCAGGGGGTACAAGAGTCAGAGATTAAATGTGACGGTTCTTTCATTATCTTTTCATTTTTTTGTAGGTAATGGGGGGCAACATATGTCAACCTTAATTCTTGCAAGCCTGGTTTCATCTTGCATCTGTACAGTTTCATTTATTATTTGTTCATGTACATAATAAAGAGTGCTTTTCGTTGATTAGGCTTTTGGGTGTACATACATGGGCTGCATATGGCATTGTTTTCTGTACTCCCTGTTCTGTTGATCTGGATGTTGCTCGTGACTTGTGGCTGTAGGTTGGAACGACACATCCTAGGTACATGCGACCATATTTATGAAATATATTAACATCAAATAGATCATAAATGAGGTCATGCGAGCTGCGTGTTTGGGTTTTGGTTTCAGAAATCAATCTACTATGAATTAGTACGAGTGCTTGCTGTCATTGTATCATAAATTTTGTTATGGGGGTTAGATTTGAGAAAATCGATTCAGAGAGGGAGTAAAGCTCCTATAGATGTGCTTGTTGTCATTGTATCATAAATATGGAACCAAGGGAGGGGACATGTGAGTTGTCCCCCTCCTATTGTACAATGAGCTGATCATACCAGCTCATTATGCAATAGAAGGGGGACATCTCATCTATCCCCTCTAATGGTATCATATTTTGGATCCATGTAGCAGCACTTGGAACACTTGTTCACCAAACTTTTTATTCTTTCATTATGATTTGAGATTTGTGCTATACATCAATACTATTTTTGAGATTTGTGCATGTATCACATGCTAGCATAAATCTTAATGTAAACTAATGGACAAAAAAGTTGGTGGACAAAAAGCTCATATCCACTTAGGGGTTGTTTGTTTGCCTGAAAAAAGAGGGAAATCAAAGAATAGGAAACTTATTTCTAAGAAAAATTGTTTTGAGATTGTTTGGTTGGCTGAAAAAAGAAGGAAATCAAAGAATGAGAGATGAGTTGTCATATTATTATTGGATGATGTGGGTGATTTTTTAAGAAAATTTGTTTTGAGGTTGTTTGGTTGGCTAAAAGAAAATTATAAGAAACTTATTTCCTGTAATAGGTTCTTTTGTTGTGTTTGGTTTATTCTTGAGTGATGTTGTAGATAAAAAATAATATTTTATTAGATGTGGTGGATGAGTTGTTGGATGAAAATAATATTTTATTAGATGTGGTGGATGTGGTGGATGAGTTGTTGGATGAAAATAATATTTTATTAGATGTGGTGGATGTGGTGGATGAGTTGTTGGATGAAAATAATATTTTATTAGATATAGTGGATGAGTTGTTTGATAAAAATAATATTTTATTAGATGTTGTTGGATTTTATGGATGGAAACGGATGAAATTGTACTTTTTGAGTTTTCTTTGTTTTCATTTCTATTTCTTGGTTTTTTAGGAAATAACCAAACAGGCCCTTAGGAGATGATATAAGATAAATTGTGTGATGAAAATAATATTTTATTGGATGATGTGAGTTTTAAGGATGAAAATAGATAAAAATAATATTTTATTGATTTCCATATACCTTTTTCTTTTCTTGATTTTTAGGAAACCAAGCAAACAGCCCTTAAGTTTGTAGGATCTTCACCCTTCATAGAGGACTACCAACTACTAGTGTCATTGGAGAAGTAAATGAGCACCACTACAAATACCTTTTTGATTGAACACAAGGGGGCATCTGCATCAAAAAAAAAAAAAAATTCCCCAAGTAGTTATTAAACAAGATCTTTGCAAACTAATAAAAGAATCTTCAATGACTTCATAAATCATTTTAGTAACTCTCTGGATAATCAGATGTTATTGAAAACATTTTAGTAACTCTGTGGATAATCAGATGTTATTGAAAACATTTTAGTAACTCTGTGGATAATTAGATGTTATTGAAAAGTACAGTTAAAGAATTTGAGGTTAAATATGATTATATCAGGTATTGTCCTCTACTCGCACTATAATCCCATTGCAAATATATTAATAATGCTTATATGAATTAATAAGCAAAAACAGTATTTAAATTAGCAATTACCCATTTTAGATTACTATTAGTTCATCCTTGTATGATTTTCTACGGGTAGTCCTTTCCATGTTCTTTTTCCAGTAGTAAATAATGCATAAAAAGTTTCGATATTGGAACCTACTGATCCATAAATGTTAAAATGAAGCTCGTCTAAACTTTTCAAAAAATTGAATTTTCACAAAATTACTCCATCATCTGCTACTGCTTTTCTGGATGGCTACGTTACTTTTTCTTTTCATCTTTCTCATCACTTCTCTTTCCTCTTTTTCTTTCATCTTTCTCCTAATTCCAAAAAGAAAGCATAGAGTACCACAGAAGGATAAAATAAGGGGTTTTTTTTGGGTACAAGCTCTTGAGATCTTTTATATTTGAAATTAGAGCATCTCCAAGAGTGATCTTAGATTTTTCCTATATTTGAGGAGCAAATCTCTCATCCTAAAAAATAGGGAGCCAAATAAGAAAAAAGATGCTCCAACAATGCGCCAATAAAGAAATAAATGCTCCAACAATGCTCCCCAAATGGCTCTCTATCTCGTGTCCTAGACTAAATATAGGGAGCAGGAGGGGAAAAAATTGCTCCAACAATGCTCCACATGTTGAGACTAAATATAGGGAGTTACTTTGTTATCCTTGATTTGGAATACCAAATCATATTCCTTATATTTAGTCTCTAACATATGGAGCCTGTTGGAGCAACTTTTCTCCCTCATACTCCCTATATTTAGTCTAGGACATGAGATATGGAGGATGTTAGAGATGCTATTAGTACCCTAAATTTTTTATATTTTGGTTGAGTTCCCAAATCTTTATGTGCTTCGCAATATTTCATATTTTACATGTTGATCCT